TAAAATATCAAAATGATTAACAATGCAGATTTATTTTTTACAGCCATCTTTGATCATATTTACCAAGGGGCCAAATAATTCTGACCAGCATTGTGTGTGTGTGTGTATATATATATATATATATGAATTTCTAACTCATGGAAAGACACTGGATTAAATTACTTAGGATGTTAAAGTATTTTCTCAAATAGGAGCGAGACTTTCTTTGTGGCCAGGTTATGTTGTAATGTAGGCAGTTACGTCGTCATTTGGTTCTGAAGTCATACCCTAATTCAGAGATGTTCACCAACACTATTTTGGTGGAAGAGTGTTATCATAGGCATTAAAGCTGTTCTGACAAAGGCCTAATATTATGTTTATGATGTATGGCTCTCTCTCACAGTGTGCGGACTGTAGAAGAACTGGATCAGAGATTCATCCTCACTCCTGAGAAAGTCAAAGATGCGTACTTGGTCAATCTCATCCAAAAGTTCCAGGATGAACATGATGATTGGTCTATCATAATATTCACTAACACATGCAAGTAAGTTTTCATTTGCCGAAAAAAGTCATTTACAGGGTTTATCAGTGGTGCTTGGTAAGGCAAATCCCTACTATAAGTATTCAACTTTACATCATAACCAGACTGCTTGTACAGTGGGCATGAATGCTACCTCAAAATGGACATCTTGTTGAGGAGCTTTTCTAAGCAATCGGACTTAACATTTTACTTGGTGGACAAATCCCATAGACTTGCATTAAAGGAAGAAACTGAGTCATATCTAAGGGGCTCTTTTGAACTGGTAAACCAACTGAACACCCAAATTGCCCAGATTTCCTTAGCATTATGTTAGCAAGTTTGCACAGGCAAACACCACTCACATTTTAAAAGGAAAATGTACAAATCTATTTGAAACCAATAATAGTGATAATTTGATAATGTTGCTATTGTTGTGATATTGTGGTGTAAATATTCCAGGAACTGCCAAATACTCACAATGATGCTGCGTGAATTCAATTTCCCAACCATCTCTCTGCACTCAATGATGAAGCAGGTAAGTGACACGTTATGAAGTTAAAATTGATTCTCACTCAGTGCCTAATGTCTACTAATGGCTTTTATTTTCTTCCCCTTTCAGAGACAGCGTTTTGCCAACCTTGCAAAGTTCAAGTCCAACGTCTTTAAAATTCTTATTGCCACAGATGTGGCTGCCAGGTACAGAGCAAACATTTCTCAACACACCTCACCATTCCTCTTTGCCATTTTCTAATTTACTCCACTTTCTCATGTTTTTTTGTTTTTGTTCTGTTCTTATCTGAAGGGGTTTAGATATTCCTACAGTGCAAGTTGTTATTAATCACAACACACCAGGTTTGCCAAAAATCTACATCCACAGAGTGGGACGAACCGCTCGAGCTGGTGAGTTTAGAGCTCTATTAACATAATGAATGAATGAGGCATTTATATAGCGCTTTCATATGTACTACTGTACACCCAAAGCGCTTTACAATCATATCAGGGGTTCTCTCCTCAATCTCAGCACCAGTGTCCAGTGTAACATAACTAAATGTCAACCCACAGTTAAAGTTTTGTTATCTTGCAAATTAGACATTGTTATTCTTCTCTGGCTTATACCAATAAGCAGATTATTTTAATGTTAGGTCTAATATTCAAATTCTATACTATGTTTCTGTAATATGTATTAAACCTATAAAACATTAAAGACTAAAATCAGTCATTTTAAATATTCTAACAGCCTTATAATATACAGTATAATTAAACATTTTCTATAAAAGAATCATACGAAGTAGCAAAAGTTACCTTTAAAATTACACATGAAATACAGGGGTTGGACAATGGAACTGAAACACTGGCCAATATATTATTGGAGGTTTTGCGCCTATATATGCTGTAAGAGCAGAGTGTTAGCAGAGCAATAGCACAGCTGTACATAAAATATTGCAATACACACAACATAATGGGAGACATATCACAGTACAAAAGATGACAAATTCATCTGTGACCAGGACAGCAAGTCTTTGAGGTGTATCGATAGCTTTGGTATTCAGGATAATGTCGGCATACCACCACGCAGGATGAACCACATCCAACAGAAGTAACTGTCGACGCAAGAGAAAGCTGTCTGAAAGGGATGTTCAAGTACCAACCTGGATTTTATCCAACAAAAAAAAACATAAAAGCTGCCCAACTTGCTGCAGAATTAAATGCACACCTCAACTCTCCTCTTTCCACCAAAACCTTTGGTCGGGAGCTCCACAGACTCGTGCCAGTGCCAAATGTCAGTTTCATTGGTGCCAACAGTGCAAATCCTGGGCTGTGGACCATGTGAAACATGTATTGTTCTCTGATGAGTCCAGATTGAAGCACGGGGTTGGACCACTGATGGTTTGGGCTTCAATATCATGGCATTCCATACTGTGCTTGATGTGCGTCACTGCCCAGGACTACCGAACCATTCTGTAGGACCATGTGCAAACTAATGGTTCAAACATTGTACCCTGAAGGGGGTTCCGTGTATCAGCATGATAATGCACCAATACACAGCCAGTCTTACATTACATTTATTCATTTAGCAGACGCTTTTATGCAAAGATGAATTGGATATTGCATATACAATATGCAAGTGCTGTGACCCTTCCCAGTTTAATCTAACGCAGTACCTGTATTTAAATTTTGTTGTGACAGAATGGTTTGATGAACATGAAAGTGAAGTTGAAGCCAGCTACTTTGGGGTATTTTGGAGGAGCAAGTCAGCATCATATAGAGACTTGTGGCTCAAAATCACTCTGGCCACTGTGAAGGACTTGTATCTGTCATTCCCAGGACAAATTGATGCTGTATTGTCTACAGCATCAATAGCACAGTATGGCCCCACCATACTAAAATAGTGTTTCATTATCCAACCCCTGTGTTCTAACATTTACTGTGAACTTCCAACCACTAAATTAAATTATGAACATGACATGACAAAAAGCGACAATTTTATATATGCATGGAAAACTGGGATTTTACAAACACTGGGTCAGATGTTGTGTTAGTCTTAGCCATACCAAGTGACAGATGAATTTGTTCAAAAGACCTGCGGCCCATTTTTGGGTTGTGAGTGTGACCCACCAGTTGAAAAGCCACTGTGCTAAAATATATCATCTCTGACGTGACATAACATCTGCTATGGTCGCTGTACACTCGTTTCACTTTAGGGCTGCCTGGTTATTAAAATAAATGTATGTGATTGGATACAATGCTGAACCAGTGCAAAAACAACAATGTAAACAGCATATTTTGAAGCAGCAGGACTACATCTAATTGGATTGCTGTAACAAATACAAATTCAGAATTGGACCATCTGTTTTATAACGTCCTCTTCCTGTTGTCCAGGCCGAAATGGTGTGTCAATCACTCTAGTCACACAGTATGACATCCACCTCGTCAGTGCTATTGAGGAACAGACCCGTAAGTTCACAACTAAAACAGATTTTCTCATTTAGAGAGAACTTTACTCTAGAATCTAAATATTCTATTGTGATAAAAGCATTGTAAATGCAAGTAATGGACTTTCTATGAAATTACTTGCTGTAAGAGTATGTTTATGGTTACTGTTTAGAGGTGAAACTGAAGGAGTATCCTGTTGAAGAGAAAGAGGTGTTGAAGATCCTCACCCAAGTCAACGTAACAAGACGACAGTGTGAAATTGTGAGAGAAGATTTTTTTTTCAATATACATTTTATATAACACATGCAACCATAATCTTATAATTGTTATTTATGTTATAGAGACTGGAGTCCACTGATTTTGATGAGAAAAAGAAGATAAACAAAAGGAAACAGATGATTCTGGAGGGAAAAGTAAACTTTTTTATTCTAAATGCATGCTTTAAACATATTACACTATCAGAAAAGATTATAGATTATCAAAAAAATATATAGAAGTTGCCTTTTTGTCTAGATTTGATGACAGGATTTTAAAGAACTTGCAGAATGACTTTGTGGTGCTTGTTTTTTTTTTCTCTCACATTCTTCAGATATTAAGTAAATATAATGCATAAATAAACGCTTACGAATTAACCATGTATTACGAATTTGTCCCTTTTGTATCAATCACAGGATCCAGATTTGGAAGAAAAAAGGAGAAATGAACTAGATAAGATCAACAGAAACAAGAAGAAACTGAAAGGAAAAAATCAAGAAAGCCTCCAGAACAAAAAGGAAAAGAAAAAAAACAATGCAAAAACGACAGAAGTAGACTCTTAAAGTGTTCTTGATATTGTACATTTACATGGGTGTGTATATAGCATAAACGAATGTATAAAATATCTTTGATCAATATTTCAAAATAAACTGCATTTTATGAACTATGTTGAGTGTGTTCTTAAATTAATAAACACATGGTAGCCGGGTTTCAGTCGGGGCTTAGATTAGATTAAATTTAGTTAAATTAGGACATTTTACCGCATTCATTTTTATTTTGGGGGGGGGGGGATTATTTCACCCCATTTTCTGGGAACTTGGGGGTCCCTGATAATATATAGCCATCATAATATACCCCCCACCCCTGAACCAGATTTAGTTTTTTGTTGCTATGAGGGTACTAAAACTCCAAGGTTTTCTATAGGCTAGGTGGAATGGGGAAAACAAGCAATATGATTTACCAAAAGTTTTATTTTGACAAACATCAATAACAAATAGTTTCAACCAATCACAAACATATAATAATAATAATAATAAAATGCTACTACTGATTACAACTAACACCTTATAACATTTCTAGTGTGCATCTTGAGACAAAACAATGGCACTGGCATATATTAAAATGTATCTGTGTAAGTTGTTTTCAGTTGTTTTCATTTTAGTCTGGGACTTGGTTTAAACCTAGTCTGTGAAACCGGCCACGTGTACCGTAAATGTTTACTATTATTGCAGTAAATATCACAATGCTGAAACTGCAGTGATAATAAATTGGTGGACTTTTATCTTGACAACTTCCGCTTTCACCTGGAAGTACAACAGTAAATGGTTCGCACTTCGCAGACCACCTTGTGCTGCAAAGAAGATTCACAACAAACATTCGTGATTTAAGACCTCAGCTGATTAAACCTTACTAGAGATTATAAGGGCTGATCAGTCGTTCAGCTGACATGGTAAGCGAACGTCTATAAACGTACAGACTAGTCAAACTGAAGCTCAGTTCCTGTGTTTAGTAGAGAAGTTACTGATCTGCATTCTCGAGCGCGCCCTAATGCAGCGTCGTATATAGACGAACACCTTTTATCTTTGCGGTAGACGTAGAACCGGGTTTTAAATAATAATTTACTTATTGCTTTAAAAAATAATATCCGTTACAAACCACTACAGACCCCACTGATCTATGTATTATAGATAATAATCTATTATCTATATAATCTATATATTATAGACCAGTGCTACAGACACGCGATGCGCTTTAGTAGTGAACAGAATATGCGTTTTCAAAGGCCAATGCCGACAGAATACAATTCAATGTCAGCTAAAGAGAAGCAATATAACACATTTAGTTTACACTATGTAACTTACTCCCATTACTAAGAAATATTTAAAAAGATGAATGGTGTCATGAATGATGTTCACTCCCTTACGAAAATTGACCATGGTTTTGTTATAGTAAAGTGTAGTAACATTATTTTATTTTTTTGGTGGATTGATTACTATTTGTTTGACCACAGTTTTACTGCAAATACCATGGTTAAATTATGATTAGTGTAGCAAAACCATGGTTAATTTGTGGTTGGGCCTTTGACAAGAAGCTTTTTTTTTTTTTTTTTTTTTTTTTAACTGATGCAATGCATATTTTTGAGTCATGAACGATGTGTTTTACAAGTTTCAGTTGTTAAATAACATTTCAAAGTGTTTAAATTAAATTTGTGACTGTTTTTATGTTAGGCGGTTCAACTAAATATTTGTGTGAATATAGGCCTATACTGTAGTTGTACCACATGACATGGAAAGTGTACCATACCATAGAATGTCCATACTTGAAATTAGTAGTATTTGAGAGAGATCCACAAACCTTTTCACTCTGCCTCAAAGATCAGTCGGGGTCCTCTGGATGATGCATCATCATGTTTACTGTTATTACCTTATTAATTCATAACAAAAGAGCCATGTTTGCAGCAGATGTGCCACCCTGACATTTGAGAATATACTAATTTCTAGACAAAAGTTTTTCAATTAGGCTATCTCAACAGCTTTAAAACTACTGATATTTATAAAATGTTTATATGAAAGGTTTCAAACCTAAAATGATGTCATAGTACTGTATATAGTTTTAAATTTGTTGTTAAGACACCATTTTAAATTATTTATTAGTCTGTTCATTTGTTCAGAAAGTTGCACCAGCTAACATTCTGGGGGTTAAAGATAACAAAACATGAACAACATCTATTATTTAAATGTACTAAAAATAATTTCAAACTAAATAGGCATATAGAATAAACAATAAAGTGATGTATGTTCAAAAGGAAATAATGCATTTGGACACAAAAATATGCACGTAATATCATTGACCCAGGCAGTTACCATGGTTTAATAACCTTTTTTTGTGGTAAAACCATGGTTAATTTTCATAAGGGTTTTCAGTAGATTTTGGAATTGACACCAGTAAAACATTTAACCCAAATTACTGGTTGATGTCTTCTCTCCTAGCTCCCGTTATCTTTACTGAAGACGGCACAGAACCACCCGATGGTGAGTATGAGGCAACTCACATTATGTGCGCTGTGTGCACAGTTTTGTGCAACTTTATCATAGCCATGTCCTGAGTAACATGCCATGGTCTTTGCTGTTTTTGGAATGGAGTACAGTAGCAATACCATAGTACATGTACTTTTCTTCATAGAGAAATGTCTTTATTTTATTATCAAAATTATATAGTACATTCCAGACAACTTTCAAGATTATGTACTTATAAGTATTTAACTTCAGTATAAAGTCATAAACTATAAATGTAATTTTAACAAGATAAAAAAAGAGTACTTGCTGAATTCACTGTGAAAAACTATACTACCCAAAATTATGAAAAGCCAGCCACCAATCAATCAGAAAAGTCACTGTTACCATAGGAATGGAAATTCTAGCACTGCATTGGCCATCCACATCCATAAAGCATTGAAAATGATGTAAGGCCTCCCATCACTCTTAATCAACTGATATATCTGAATATTTTAGAATAACCAAATATATTGTCAATAGTTTTGTGTTGTACCATTTTTTTCTTCTTCAAATCGAAGTTTTCTGGTGATTCTGGTTGGTTTAGTTAAAGGTGCTCTGTGACTTTTAGCGGCTTCTAGTGGTGATGTTTCAGATTGCAACCAAATTTTACAAGAGCGCTCGTGCTCGAACTCATAGACAATACCGTCTATTACGCAAATATCTCGGCGAATACTAGACGGATTCGGCGAGCACCGAGCTCGTTGGGACCATCTAGTCGAGCTGAAAAGAACCATATAAGTTCCATAGTTTTTGGTGGTGTTTTCGCGGAGATATTAGCAGAAAACCATCGGGCGCGCTGCAAAATTGCGGACGCCGGTGACGTCACGATCTCAGAAGAAAATCGCTCGTATCTCTGGAACGCAAAGACCCAGAGAGCTCAAATTCGGGGGAGGAGGTCCCAGGGGAACCCTTGCCCGAACGCTAGAGTGGCGGGCCTCGGGGATGCCCCCTACCGGATCCCCGTTCGCTGGGACCCCCGATTTCGAACGGCTATAACTCGGGCAGCCGGGCGAGTTGGACCTCGGGGGTGGGCTCGTTCGAAAGGCCCCGTCCAGCACTACGAACGATTAGAGTCTTGGGAATATTGATCAAAGATTGACCGAGATATAAGCCGAAAACCGTGCGCCTTTAACCGGACGTAACTCCCTGACCGTCTACTGTATATAAGGAGAGAGGCTCGGGAGCGCGCTTGCACGTCACATCCGTTGGATTTCGCTGTAAATCCGACCCGGAGACTTCACATAGAAATAGGAATACTGGCCTTCAGAGGTATTTGCAAAACTCGACAAGTGGATCATTTTAATGTGTGATTACAACCCCTTCACACACAGGCAATAAAAAAAGGATTCATTTTAGTAGAAAAGTTACATAGAGCACCTTTAAAGGCTTAAAACAATTAATTGAATCTTTTTTAAATGCCTATGGTGAAAATGAGTAAAAGAACCCCTGAAAAGGGGGCATTCAGTTTTATGCTGTTTTATAAGGGAAGTTAAACCCAACTAACATAACCAATACAAAGAAATGGCAATTAAAAAGTTTACCTGTTTCTTAATTTAGTCTGCTTTTGTTTTTAGCTGGTGGAGTTAAAGAATGGTGAGACGTACAATGGCCATCTGGTCAGCTGTGACAACTGGATGAACATCAACTTGAGAGAAGTTATTTGCACTTCAAGGGTAATTAAATCCTCATTCCTCGAGATGAGGGGTTCTTTGAATATTATTGATTGCAAATTTGATTGAGCGATTATGGCGTTTGTGTGTGTGCTGAAATGTAAAGGTTTTTTCTGCCTGCTGATTTTGATTTGCAGGATGGAGATAAATTTTGGAGGATGCCGGAATGCTACATCAGAGGAAGCACCATCAAATACTTGCGAATCCCTGATGAGATCATAGATATGGTGAAAGAGGAAGTACAATCAAAGGGACGTGGCCGGGGAGGTATGCAGCAGAACAAGCCACAGGGAAAAGGGAGAGGAGGTGGACCTGGAAGAGGTGGTGGAACCGGCCGAGGTAAGACACAATTCAAAGCCCTTGTTAAAGGAATAGTGTGACAAAATTGTCAAAAATGTTGGGTTAACTTAAATGTTGCGGTCATAATTTGTGAAATGCATACACACTAGTGATGCACGGATCACGGTAATATCTGCATACACTGCTGATAATCAGTGGGTCGGTGGGCCAAGTAATGAAAAAATAACATTCCAATTTATTGCGGGTGGATGAGATGAATCATAATGTGTTTATTTTAATAAAGTCAAAATCTCATTTCACTGTAAAATGCTACAAACGTGTGTCACTATTTTACTTTCAAATGTAACTACGGTGCGCTCGCCTCATTTTATCAAATGATCATATTTACATCGATTCATTTCACAATACTATTAGCCTTTTATTAAGACTAATAACCTTTTCATTCGAGTGAGGAAGCTGGCGTTTTGAGTTGCATTTGCATATACTGCAGTTAAATGCAACTTGCAGTTTTAAAGAGCCCCTGTGGTACAAATCAAGTTTTTAATGTTGTTTATATGTCTATGTGGTGTTTTTATTGTGCTTTAAAACAAACCATGAGCAAATTCACAAGTCAACACCATTGCTGAGTATTTTCTCCTTAAAACTACAGTGAACCAAAGACTCAAAAATGCAGTTTGAAACCGCTGGTGTTTCTGACGTCACAAATACAATGGTAACCGATCCCATTAAAGTCCGAGCGGGCTTTAGCATATCTTGTTACGAGGCAGGGGAGTCTCAAGAGAAGCCATTTTTCTGTTGATATGACAAATCGGGTACATTTAGTAATATAGCAGGTGAATCACGTATATGATGTATATGACGATGTTATGATGAACTGTATGACTTTCTCCACTGACGTTCAAAGCTTTTCAAGGATTTTTAGAAGGCAGCTTCCTGACTCTGAGATGACGAACGGGAACATGGTTTGTGTAACATTAGCAACACATTATTAGCTGTTTGATAACGTCAAGCAAAAGGCTAATCATATTAATTACCGCTATGTGTCTGACGTTGTAGAGAGCGATACATAGGCTAAAACACATTACCATTCTGATGCAACGGATTGTAGACGACCCTACAATTGAATGACGATCGGTCATGGGGATTTGTGTAAATTAAAATCTCTAGTTTGAAGGGAGTAAAGCCTGTGTTTTCAGGTTATTAAGGAAATGCAATTTTGCCAAAGAAGAACTTTTACTTTTAATAAATGTTCATTTAAAAGCAGCCTACTTAAGTGTAATATCATACCATATCACACTTAACACACTGAGAATTAGAATATTTGTAATGTGACGATCGGGTGCAGATATCTAAATCAGAGAAATTCATAGGTAAGTTAGGTGGCGGGTGGATGATAATAATTTTTTCTTAGATAATATGGATTCGGGTGATGTCAACTGTGCATCTCTAATACACAATTGACTGACACTTTTTGTTGTCTTTTAAGGTATTTTTGGTGGCCGTGGTAGAGGCATGCCGGGAACTGGTCGTGGACAGCAACAAGACAAAAAGCCTGGTAAACCACAAGGTGTCAAAAACTAATTTTATAACAGATCCTTCCCTTGTGTGCTGGTGTGAGTTTTACTCCTTTTAGTCACAAGCACCTCTTCAGGTCTCTGAACATAAGTTCATACATCATCATTTTCTTTAGAGGCTCATTTACAAGCCTCAGTTCGTGCATCAAACTGTTCAGCAACTTTTTGTGTAACAAGTTTAATGTAAAAGCCTTTAATGTCATGTGAATTTTTACCCAATATCTGATACATTTTGTCATCTACTTTCTCAGTTTGATCATCAACCGGAAAAAGAAGTGAGTTTATTTTGAAATGGACATCCTGGATCTCTGAAGACTTTAATTTGGGCAAGCTGATGTAAAGATGCTTTTCCATTTTCTTCAAATTGTTTTTATTTTCTGTTCACTCACATTTTGGTGCATGTTTTCACATTTGCGCTTAAGTTTGTTTGTTTTTTGATTTTTTAAAAACAACCATGGTGTAACTTGACTTGTGCACTTGTGAATAAACAATTTTTGTTAAATATTGCAATTGCTGTTAATATGTGTGTCAGCACTCCATTACATCTAAACAAATGGAAACAAGTTGCATGCATTAAACACAGTTAAATCTTAGGTAACTGCTAAAAAACTCTTGGCAAGCCATTTTCATGTTGGCTTTCCAAAAATAGTCTTTAATATTTCTTTGCCTTAGTTTTGGAGATCTCTAGATTGGTAAAGACACTACATTATTTTTGGGAAGTCAACATGAAATTGTCTTGCCAAGAGTTGTCTCTTTGTCATTAAACTGAGATAGCAGAATGGATTTTTTTTTTTAGGGTTACCAGTTACCACACTTTTTGAATAATGAATTCCTATGACATTTCCATTCACTTGTGATTTAAAAGATAAGGATTTTTAAAGATGATTTTCACATTTGATATTGAACTGTTCAGACCGATATGTGAATCACTTCATTTTTGAATGAATACTTGTAAAAATCTGACTCGGATACAATATGGCTCACTAATCAGATATTGCCATGACTCGCAAGCTTGACTTTACACAAGCAATATTTTAGACCAAAGCATAAAAATGACACTGCTCCTTGCGGTTATGACATTACAGTTTTTTTCAGTCGCTAACAAGCGTTTGTCCAACCAGTTGTCACATTTTCAAAACTCTAAACACAATTAGCACAGCATCGGTCTTTTGTGGCCATACCTTTCACACATTTCATGTCATTTTCACACAATATGCAGTCAGTGAACACATTTCCTCAATGCTTACATTTTCTTAACAGACAAGTTATACCTCCCAACAAAATTATGGATTGTTTTTATACTATTTACAAATGTTAACACACACCATCCCACAATTGCAAAAACAATATTCCAAACCTTAGATACAGTATAAAAACCTCTGCTCCTGCAATGATATCAGTTCAAAAACAATATATCTCAGCTGATAATAAACAAACAATTGAATAATTGACCCACAGCTTATTTATGTTGGGTAAATTGGGCCAACCACAGCTGATTCCAGTCTGGCTTAGACTCAGTGGCAGGGTTTTTTTTTTCTATTACATTGACACTTATACAGTAAAAGGAGGACTTTGAAGAGTGATGTTTTTTGGAAACAGAAAAAGACAAACACTGTAATGTCTGGACAAGGAAGAGTAAGAGCAAGGGGCCCAGGGAGAAGATCAGGCCCAGTTAGAGATGCAGTGAGATGTGCAGGTGCAGTGAGAGATGCAGGAGCAGTGAGAGATGCAGGAGCAGTGAGAGATGCAGGAGCAGTGAGAGATGCAGTGAGAGGTGCAGGTGAAGTGAGATGTGCAGGAGCAGTGAGAGATGCAGGAGCAGTGAGAGGTGCAGGTGCAGTGAGAGATGCAGGAGCAGTGAGAGATGCAGGAGCAGTGAGAGGTGCAGGAGCAGTGAGAGATGCAGGAGCAGTGAGAGATGCAGGAGCAGTGAGAGATGCAGGAGCAGTGAGAGGTGCAGGAGCAGTGAGAGATGCAGGAGCAGTGAGAGATGCAGGAGCAGTGAGAGGTGCAGTGAGAGATGCAGTGAGAGATGCAGGAGCAGTGAGGTGCAGGAGCAGTGAGAGGTGCAGGAGCAGTGAGAGATGCAGGAGCAGTGAGAGATGCAGGAGCAGTGAGAGATGCAGGAGCAGTGAGAGATGCAGGAGCAGTGAGAGGTGCAGGAGCAGTGAGAGGTGCAGGAGCAGTGAGAGGTGCAGGAGCAGTGAGAGATGCAGGAGCAGTGAGAGGTGCAGGAGCAGTGAGAGGTGCAGGAGCAGTGAGAGGTGCAGGAGCAGTGAGAGATGCAGGAGCAGTGAGAGGTGCAGTGAGAGATGCAGTGAGAGATGCAGGAGCAGTGAGGTGCAGGAGCAGTGAGAGGTGCAGGAGCAGTGAGAGGTGCAGGAGCAGTGAGAGATGCAGGAGCAGTGAGAGATGCAGGAGCAGTGAGAGATGCAGTGAGAGATGCAGTGAGAGATGCAGGAGCAGCGAGAGGTGCAGGAGCAGTGAGAGATGCAGGAGCAGTGAGAGATGCAGGAGCAGCGAGAGGTGCAGGAGCAGCGAGAGATGCAGGAGCAGTGAGAGATGCAGGAGCAGTGAGAGATGCAGGAGCAGTGAGAGATGCAGTGAGAGATGCAGGAGCAGTGAGAGATGCAGGAGCAGTGAGAGGTGCAGGAGCAGTGAGAGATGCAGGAGCAGTGAGAGATGCAGGAGCAGTGAGAGATGCAGTGAGAGATGCAGGAGCAGTGAGAGATGCAGTGAGAGGTGCAGGAGCAGTGAGAGATGCAGGAGCAGTGAGAGGTGCAGTGAGAGATGCAGGAGCAGTGAGAGATGCAGTGAGAGGTGCAGGAGTAGTGAGAGATGCAGGAGCAGTGAGAGGTGCAGTGAGAGATGCAGTGAGAGGTGCAGGAGCAGTGAGAGATGCAGTGAGAGGTGCAGGAGCAGTGAGAGGTGCAGGGGCAGTGAGAGGTGCAGGGGCAGTGAGAGGTGCAGGAGCAGTGAGAGATGCAGTGAGAGGTGCAGGTGCAGTGAGAGATGCAGGAGCAGTGAGAGATGCAGGAGCAGTGAGAGATGCAGGAGCAGTGACTTGAGAGTAGATCTCTTTGAAGCTCTGACAGGAACCTCTGTGGCTGTTCTGAGGAACTAATCAACTCTCAAATTATTTACAAAAGTACAATGATTTATTTTCACATCCTTCTGAAAGCAATAGCATCAGATGCTAATGTTGCTTCTTCAAGCCAAGATGCAAGAGGCTAAAGCGGATGATGGAGAGACCAGTCGATTCAGTCCGCTGGACACACAGCTGATCAGACACTTCTGGAGTCTTACACCTGGAACAAATAAAACACAAATGAACACTTAGAACAGGTGAGAAAAGGTCCAGTTTCTCATTTTTAGGTGTAAATTATGAAGTGGCTTTTTCATGTAAAGAGCTACGGGAAACTAGCCTACATAGAGTTCAATATTCTCATAACATGGTTGTTGTAGCTGCCAGCAGAGACAGTTGCATAATTTAAGTTCCATAAAATTATAGTTTTAATTTAATAAGTAACCACGTTTAAATATATCATAATATATTTATATTAATCTTTTATTTTGAAATATATGTACAAGCGGATTTGTTTATGTAGGCTTATATAGCGGAACTATTGTTCTGAGGTTCGGTTGGTTCAGACGTTTATTGATGTTACATCAGCATCGTAGCATCGGAGAATGTCATAGCGCATAGTGATCCAAAACATGGTATAGTTGAGTATAGAGACATTGATCGGTAGGAAGAATATTCCAGTGAATGAGAAGGTCTACTACCTCCGCAAGTATGTTGGAGGACCTGCAAGGAAAGCTATTGAAGGTTACTTCCTGCTGGGCACGGATGCAGCCTACTATTCAGCATTGGACATCATGGAAGAAAGGTATGGAAGCCCCTTTGTGATTGCCAAGGCCTTCAGGGATAAGATAACTTCATGGCCAAAAATAGGACCCAAGGACAGCATTGAACTAAGAGAATTCTCAGATTTTCTATGAAGCTGTGAAGCAGCAATGTTGCAGATAAAGAGTCTTGCAGTCCTAAATGACTGCGGTGAAAACCAAAGAATGCTCAACAAGCTTCCTGATTGGCTAATTGCCAGATGGAACAGAAAGGTCCTTGCGGTTGAAGAATCAACACATGATTTTCCAAGCTTTAGCGAATTTGTTCAGTTTGTTGCAAGAGAAGCCAAGATCGCATGCAACCCTGTGACATCTCTTCATGCTTTGAAGTCTGGTGATAGTGAAAAGGTTAAGACACAAAAGCCTCGAAATGTTGGTGCAAAGGTTCTGGCAAGCAGCTCAGAAGAAAACCCAGACCCTAAACCATGTCTCTTTTGTGAGAAGTTGCACCATGGCATTCAAACATGTCGAAAATTCAAAGAAAAGTCAATCTCAGAAAAGGTCAAGTTTGTGCAAACTAAAGGACTGTGTTTTGGATGCTTGAAGACAGGACACCGTTCTAAGAACTGTGAAAGGAGGAGTGTCTGTGACACATGTAAAAGGAAGCACCCAACCTGTTTGCATGAAGACCGGGTCAAGGATGATGGAAAGAAAGATCACAGAGATGACGAGAGAAAGGAGTGTTGGAACCAAGCCAAAGAGAGGTCAAAGGAAAGGACGGATTCTAAGCAGTCAAATGGAGCTTCTAAGGAAGCCACCTCTAACCGTGTGGTGCAAAACATGAATGGAACATACACGTCCACCATTATTCCAGTGTGGTTGTCAACAACAAGTAGCCCAGAGCATGAAGTTCTCGTATATGCTTTACTGGATAACCAAAGTGACACCACCTTTATCCTGAAAGAAAAGGCAGACGCTCTGGACACACAGAAGGAGCCAGTGCAACTAAAACTCTCAACGTTGTCATCTAGAAGTACAATCATTCCAAGTCAGAAGGTAACTGGGTTGCAGATCAGAGGTTTTTATTCAGCGAAGAAAATCACTCTTCCGGTAACCTATTCAAGAGACTTTATTCCTGTCAATGTAAGTCACATTCCCCCACCCAAGACAGCAAGAGCATGGCCTCATCTAGAGCATCTTGCAGAAGAGATTGCTCCTTTAATTGACTGTGACGTTGGTCTGCTTATAGGTTACAATTGTTCTCAAGCTCTGTTACCCAGAGAAGTTGTGTCAGGCAGAGATGAGGAGCCTTTTGCTCAAAAAACAGACCTCGGCTGGAGTATTGTTGGCTCTGGAAGTTCCTGTGTCGACTACGGAGATGCAATTGGAAGCAGCCACAGAACTATTGTCAGACAAGTAATGCCATGCTTTCAGTCGTCTGCCAATCTGACAAGTGAAGTCCGATACATATGTCGAACACAAGTCAAGGAGTTAGTCACTCCGCCAAATGTTATGAAGATGTTGGAGTCAGACTTTAATGAAAGAAGCGTGGAGGATTCTCACTTCTCACAAGAAGATCTTCGCTTCATTTCAATAATGGAGGAAGGAATCAAGATTAAGCCTGACGGTCACTGTGAAATGCCTTTGCCATTTAAAGAATACAGACCGAGTCTACCAGACAACAGGAAATGTGCTGTTCATCGCCTTAAGTGTTTGAGGAGGAGATTTGAGAAAGACAAACAGTACCACAAGGACTACTTAATCTTCATGAAAGAAACAATGACGCGTGGAGATGCTGAGAAAGTTCCTGAAGAGGAAATCAACAAGAGCCCTGCTTGGTACATCCCTCATCACGGGGTGTATCACCCACAAAAACCAGGCAAGATACGCGTTGTGTTCGACTGCTCAGCAAAGTTTCAAGGCGTGTCATTGA